TTCGGCTCCCCGCCCCCGCCATCCGCCTTGACCATCTCCCCTCTCGTCACTTTTCGGCCGCTTTTTGGCGGGCTCGCTGGGGTCCGTCCTAACTCCTGTCTCTTATACACATCTAGATGTGTATAAGAGACAGGGGGGAAGCGAGAGAGAGAGAGAGAGAGAGTTGACTGCCCAAGCAGACTTCAGGAAAAGCAGAGAAGACCTTTTGGGGAGAGAGAGAGAGAGGAGGGGGGGGGGAGGAGGAGAGAGAGAGAGAGAGAGAGAGAGATGAGTGCCAAACTAGACTTCAGGAAAAAAGAATTTTTTTTGAAGAACGAACCAGAGCACACACACACACACACACACACACACACACACACACACACACACATACATACACACAAACACGCGCGCGCGCGCGCACACGCACACGCACACACCCACACACACACACACACACACGCGCGCGCGCGCACACACACACACACACACACACACACACACACACACACACACACACACATATGGACCAAAAAAAACAGAGAAGGTATAAACTCCTAGGAGTAGGCAGTACAGCTGGCATTGGGATTATCGTCTGTCATCCGGAATTGTACATCCTCCGGAATTTTCTTTTTTTCGGCAGCAGAAACCTGCTCAACGATTTACTTCATGTAAATCCTCCGTGTTTTTTCGTTAGTCTTCCAATTGCCAGCGAGGCACGCAATGAACATTACTTTTTTTTCCCGATCGATTTGTCCCAAAAAACAATTAATAGTTCGGAAAACTCCACCGAGAAAGTTAACAGGCCGTAATAAACCCTTGCAGAACGGGTGAGGGCATACTGGCACTACTACTTTTGAGCCCAAGCTGGTCGCCAAGTACCCGACAGATAGATACATCGAGAAAACTTCTAGTGCCAGCATGCCCTGACATGTCAATACCAACTACATGCGAGCAATAATATTTTTTTCCTCAGTCCCAAAATAGCAACATCGCAAGCTCATTGTGCTGTGCGATTTTGCTTCATTCACAATCTACTTCCCAATTTGGGGAAAACACACACACACACACACACACACACACACACACAAATTTGCAAGCCGTTGACGAATCTCTTGTGATTGAAGAAACGAAAAAAGAAATGTAGTGCCAAAAAAATAAAAAAAAAATGTAGCTTTGAAACCCCACAGGACAAGTGGCACAAACCTGAAGTCCAACCGACGGTCTCCCGAGCTTGCCGCGCTGAGTTGAAGACATGAGAGACAAAGCATCACACCCAGGACCACCACACCTCCTCCCATCCTCGCTCCTCCCTCCTCGCTCCTGCCCTCCTGGAGCTCCACGGCCGACTTTGAACAGAATGGATGATAAAGGGGAACCAAGCTGAGCAAGGCCCAGGCAAAGCTGCCAAGCCGCGGACTCTAGCATCTAGCATCTAGCCTCTAGCCTGAAGCCTGAAGCCTGAAGCCAACCCCCGAGCAGGGCCGAGCGGGCCGAGCCGACCTCCGCTGGGCCGAGCACAAGATCCGAGCAGAATTTCGACTGGCGCCAACTTGCTGTGTTTGTTCCTTGATTTGACTTGGGCGACGCCGCGACGGTTCCCCATCGGCGACTTGAACGATGAGATAGCCGATACCGCCGGAGAGTGGGCGGGGATAGATCGGCGAGTGGGCGGGGATAGATCGGCGAGTGGGCGGGGATAGCCACATTTCGGCTCCCCGCCCCCGCCATCCGCCTTGACCATCTCCCCTCTCGTCACTTTTCGGCCGCTTTTTGGCGGGCTCGCTGGGGTCCGTCCTAACTCGCCGATACCGCCGGAGAGTGGGCGGGGATAGATCGGCGAGTGGGCGGGGATAGATCGGCGAGTGGGCGGGGATAGCCACATTTCGGCTCCCCGCCCCCGCCATCCGCCTTGACCATCTCCCCTCTCGTCACTTTTCGGCCGCTTTTTAGCGGGCTCGCTGGGGTCCGTCCTAACTCTCCCGCCGCATGAGGATCGAGGAACAAGCCGCCCTCGTGGCAGTCAATAGCCCGCCGGAGACGTTAATCGGCGGCCAAATCTTTTTCTTTTTTTTTTTTTACTTATGATTTTTTTATTTTATCTTTTTAGAAAACAACAACTCATTACAAATTACTGAGGGGAGGCCGGGGACCTCACAATTCAACCCGGAATACTGACAGCATCAGCCAGCTTAGCTTACAGGCTCTCGCCTGCGGGAAGTCTGCTACAGACTTTTCACCAACTAATCCTACCAATTCACAGCGTTCCAGATTTACCTTGGTGCGTCACAATCGTCTCTAGCGGCTGCTTCAAATCTGACCCTGGTCCCAATACATAACCGTTCTGCTCTCTGTTTACTGTCCTAAAAAGCAGACAAGTAATCATTTTGCCCTTAGCTAGTATTCAGATAAAACCTATGCATGGAGCTTTAGGGCCTCACCACACTACTCCCGACTTGGGCATTTTCGGGAGTGCAGCATCACCACACCAGCTCCCGAGTTCAACCTGTCAGATTGAATTCGGGAGCTGTCAGAATGTGCCTCCCGAGAGCACTCCCGAAGTCACCGCCTGCAAAACTTTTTTTTCGAGAGACCTCCTTCGCTCCTCCGAGTTTCATCCCAGATTTGGGAGCAGAGCCGGAAGGGACAAACGACTTTTGCCAGACTTCTTCACACTGATCATGTCCATATGTGGCAAATGACATTTTCAGAATTTGAGCGCGGCCGGGTCGAGAGTGTAGTGTGGCGAAGGGCACTCCCGAGCGGGTTTTCACTTCCGGGAGCACTCCCGAAAATGTTCCCAAGTCAGGTGTGGTGTGGCGAGGCCCATATTCTTCTCTCAAAAAACGGTTTGAGGCGTGAAGGGGGGATGGCAGGCCGCTTCCGCCGGCGCTATGATGCGCTCGGACCAAGCGGGGTGCTACCGGTAACGGGAGTCTGGGATAGCAGAAACGACTACCATCGTGATAGCGTTTTCGTTGGTAAGGTTGTCGTCACCATCGCCATGCCTTTGGTCAGCTACCCGTCGTCGAGCGGGAAGTTGTAGACACCTTAGTACCCCATCGCTCTACCCCCTGAGAATAGACGATAGCGTGAGTTTGAGAATTGTTTGTGCTCTAGTGTTTAGGTCTCCTAAACAGCTCCGAAGAAAGGATTGTGAGGACAAGCTAACTGCGGCATGGCGGAAGCGGTGATGGAAGAAAATCATTCACCTCCGGCGGTGCCGGAAGCGACCGCTAACGAGGAAGAAGAGCATATTCGTGAGATGGCGAGACTGTGCTATGAGAAAGGCATTTTACCAACGAATATTGATCCTGGCGAGATGAGAGTTGACGGCCGGGAAGTTTTTTTCAAAGTCAACCCGATAATTGATCAAACGAAGGTGGCATGGCTTAAAGAACACACAATCACAGTCATCTTTAGAGAAGGGGCTCGTTTCTTACCGAAGAGGGTAAAGGATGACGTTATTAGGGCTTTTGATGACGATCGTGTTCAGGACGGTAGCTTCGAGGCCTCGACCTTCAAGCCGGGGTGGGTCAAGATAGAGAGTCCTAACGTCGTCTCCTACGTAGCAAAGAGCAGTACGGTAGCCCTGTGGATGTTAACGAAAGGGTCTGACGAAATAACTTTGGGTTCTACTCAGTACGTCCTGGAATTTAAGCCATGGCTCACGAAGGCTCGGTTGAGAGAGCAAAGGAGAACCGAAGATGAGTCCGTATTCTGGATAGTCGCTGTTCAAGTTCCTTTAGACGCGATGCTTTATTTGGAAGCTCATGTACGCAAGGCGATAGGTCCAGTGATTTTCACCCATCCTTCAGAGCCAGATAGGCAGAAACCCTCCCTGATCAATATTAAATTTGATATAGATCCTCAGGCAAGAGGCAATATGAAGGATAAGATATGGGTTGAAATTTGGGAAGGGGATTCGTTGGAGGTTAGACTAGCATCGTCGGCAACCCCGAGGTGCCGAAGGTGTAGAGCCTTCTTCCATACCGATGATGAATGTCGAAGAGCAGGTCGCTAACAAACTCACTCGGTAGCTAATCCTGCACAATCAACAGTGGTGAACCAAGGTGTGAAATCCGAGACCAGCATACTCAGGCCACTAAGCAGCAGGAGTGCAGACATCGCCGAGTAACTCGAGAATCGGTGTTCAGTTTCAAGCACAGCAGCAGCAAGCGAACCAAGGCCAACAACAACTTCAACAGCAAGTGGGAGGAACGTTTGGGCAGTATCATGTCAACCTGATGTACTACATGAGCCCTGGGGGCACAGGGACGGTTCTCCAATACCAGATGGACCCTCTAATGCAGACAGGAGGTTCGACTTTCTTTCCATGGGGGCAGCAGGGGCAGGCCCCTCAAGGTGGGATGCCGAATGGCATCAGCAGTCAGCCTATGTTTCATTTGGAGAGACCACTGATGAACCAGTGGGGCATGCCTGTCGCCTCAATGAGCCAGGCGGGAGGAGTGAGTGGAGTGGGAGAGATGGGAGGAGGGGGTGTGCTCCACGCTCACCCCCCCCCCCCACCCTCGGTACAACCGAATGCTTCGTGCACAGGAACCAGGGGAGTCCTGAATCAAGGTGGAAACCTGGAGCCATCCCCTTAGGGGGCAAGGGCAGATGGTGGAGAAAGAGACTCACTGCGATTACGAAGCGGCCAAAACGGCAGGCAGCGCCGTCTCGGTTTTGATGAGGTTTCGAGTGCAGCGGACCGAGGGGTAAGAGCTGAAAGGTCGGATGCCTCGTTCGCTTCCTCTAGCTCACAGGCTGAAGGAAGCATTTGAGAAGTGGGAACGTCAGGAAGCAAGACTACGAAAGCGAAATTCTATCACGTTGGGTAAGAGACAGTTAAATAACATGGAGGTAAAAATTTTACCGATCCTGTGTTCCTTTGCCAGAAACTCCTTGTGGGTGCCGGCATGGACAACGATCGATGCTTCCATTAACTTTATTACTATCCCCTCGCCTGATTTGCCCATGTCATTGGTACTGATAAATGCAATTCGAACAGCAATTAACGATAAACTCACATTTCGTTTGATTCCGGAAACATCGATGCCGAGATTTCTAATGGACCATCCTACTGGCCAGGGTAAGAAGTTGAAATTCTTCTGCCCGCTGGCCGATGTATGGTTCGTAACCGGACAATTGAAGATGTTGGAAGTTGAAGGTCTTAGGCTGATCCTCATGGCAGTGTTTACAGATGCCAAGAAACAGGAACTCCGCCGTTTCAAAGCGGATCCTGCCAACTCAGCAGAATTCCTGGCAGAACTCGATAGCAAGCTGGTTTGAGAGAAAAAACTCGCCTCACAATTTATGAGGAAAACCCTCACGTCCCCATGGTTGGGCCCTGCAGGGTCCCCCCAGCCTGTTAGAAGCTCTGACTCACAGACGATATCCCAAATCCAAAAAGGGGGAATCAGTTTAGGCGATGGGAAAAATTAAATTCGCTACATGAAATGTGCGGGGCCTTGTTGATCAATCCGGTAAACATAAGCGTGATAGACTTAAATCTTGGATTCATGTGAATAAGTTTCAAATTGTGTGCGTACAAGAAACAAAGCTTAACGAGGAAAAGATTAACTCTCTTGGTATGTGGTGGGATGACCCTCAGCTGTGGTCCCCTGCAGAAGGGACCAGAGGTGGTGTGGCCATCCTTGTGCACAGAGGAGCGGAAATTGAAATAGCGGACTATGGTATTGACCTTTGGGGTCGATGGGCATGGATTAAATTCTACACCACCGAACAGTCTTGGATTATTGCTTCAATCTATGCCCCGACTGAGTCGTGCAAGAGAGTTACCTTTTTAGAGAACTTGCATATGTCCTGCCGATAACTGACTCGGTGTTGTACACAGGGGACTGGAACACGTCCTTGGATGTCTCCCTTTCGAACCCGGGCGTGCAGACGACACCAGATAAATTATCTTTGGTAAATCTGATGGAAGAGAGGGACCTTATTGACCCGTACAGATTATCCTATCCTGACCAGGACGGTTATACCTGGTGCTCGAACCGCAGACGGGACTCAGGCTTTATTCGTAGGCGGTTAGATTACTTTCTGACATCCGCATCAACCTGGAACTCGATGAAATCGATTAGAGAGGCAACCCAGTTTATGTCTGACCACAGTCCAGTAGCTCTCACCATGCATACACAGGGTCCGGCACGGGGAAAAAGGATTTTCAGGTTTAATGTTCAAAACCTTGAAGATCCTGGTTTGGTAGAGTGGATGAGAAATTTATGGGTAGATTGGCAAGCGGTCAAACCACGATATGATTCTATTGAAGACTGGTGGGATGCAGAAACCAACATGTTCTCTAGCTTGTTGAGTGTTTTCTCTCGGCTTACGGCACACAACCGTCAAAGTTATGAAGCTGAGATATTAAGGAAAATCAGTTATGCAGAGG